CCCTGGGAATCCATTTTCTCACCCATGAAAGGAGAGATCTCTGGGTCAACAACCCTATGGACACCAGAGTCATGTTCCTTGACTCGCTGCCCTGCGCGCCCCTGCCCAGCTCTGGGCTTCTGCCGCGGCCCGGCCAAGCTAGCTCACTCCAGCAATGCCAGAGAGAAAGAAAGAATGTTTTCTTTTTTTAAACAAACAAATAACAGCCCCAAAGCCTCCTTGACACTGTGGCCAGGGGTCACTCAAGCATGCGGGCTATGAATGAAGTAAGCTTATAAAGAAAATGTAGGCATTTGCTGCCGGAAGACCTGTCCCAGACAAAATCCATACTGTCTGTTCATTTAATGAGGCCTCACTCTCACTTTCTCCCAGGCTTATCTAAGGTTAAGGATTCCAGTGTTACCTTGTTTAGCAAAATATAGGCAGGAAGGGAAAATCTGCAAACTCTCAGCCGGAAGACAAACATTCTGGGGAGAGTCGAAAGGGAGGGTCAGAAGCAGAAAGCACAGTGCGGTGTGCGCGGGAGCGGCAGCTCCTAGGCCACGTCAAGCAGTCCCTGGGGGCGCGGCGATCTCCTCTAGCAAGAACAGCCATTAGAATGATGCTGATGACGAGCTGATTGGTGACATTCATTCTGCACTTTCCCGCTTGCAGAGTGAACGACCTCATTTGACACAGCAATCCTATGAGGTAGGGGCCATTAATATGCTCATTTTATTTTATTTTATGTTTTTGCTTTTTTTTTTTTGGTGAGGTAATTAGGGTTGAGTGACTTGCCCAGAGTCACGCGGCTAGTAAGTGTCAAGTGTCTGAGGCCAAATCCTGACTCCCAAGCCCATTTTACAGATGAGGAAAGCCCCTCAGGGAGGATGAGTGATTCTCTCAAAGTCATACAGCTAGTGTCTGAGGCAATATTCAAAAATCAGGTCTTCTTGACTCCAAGTCACTTCATATCAACAAGCATTTATTAAGTGCCTACTATGTTCCAGCTAGGTGGGGGAAGGGACTATGGTACCTATTAGGGGCCAAGCACTGTGCTAATTACTTTACAATTGTTATCTCATTTGATTCTCACTCAGTGGAGTAGGTGCCATTATTATTTCCATTGCACAGTTGAGGAAACCAAGGCAGACAGAAATTAAGTGACTTGCCCAGGGTCACACAGCTAGTAGCGTCTAAAGCTGGATTTGAGCTCAGGTTTTCCTGACTCCAGGACCAGCACTCTATGAACTATGGCACCACTTAGCTGTATCTAGTTAATTCCTCTCTTTCAGCTTCAGTTTCCTCATCCATAAAATGGGTTGGACTCCATGGCCTCTAGGGTACTTTCCATCTCTAGAACTAGGATCCTATGAACTGGAGTGAGGTGGCATTAGTGAAAGCCTCATGTACAAAGTGGTATTTGGTCTGAACCTTGAAGGTTACAAAGAATTCTAAAAGGAGGGGAGACAGCCTGAGCAAAGACCTGGGAAATGGGACCTCCTATATGGGGAAGCAGGAAGCAGCAGGAGGGTTGGGCTGGAATGCAGGGTGCATGGTCGGGTAGAGCCAGGCTAGACAGCAGAGCAGATAATGAAGTCTAGCTCTCCCCTCCTGGCAAGAGGTAGGGGCCTACTGTAGCAGAATGTTGGCCACGTTGGGTTCTGAGGTCACTGAGTCAGGTTTTCCTCTGGAACAAGGGTGAGATTTGGCAGGGGAAGGAGAGAGGAGGGGTGTATTACAGAACAAAAACCAAATGTATCTTGAGAGACAGTGTTTCCTAGTGGCTAGAGCTGGTCTCAGAGGAAGACAGACCTCGGGTTCAGGCCCTGCCCCTGCCACCTCCTGGCTGTGTGACCCTGGGCGGACCACCTCACCCCTCTCTGCCTTGAGTAACTCCCTAACTTCCAGAAGATTTGCTGAACTCCATTGATAGAGGGAGTCTTCTCACTGGGAGTTACCTAGACCAATGAAATCATAGATCTAGTGAAAGAAAATGCATTAATAAAATCTCCTTTTCAATTTTTTTAAAGAAAGAAATGAGAGTTAGAGGCAATAGCTAGAAAGGAGTCAAGCCCCTGTGGTTTTGCCTAAATACCAAGGACTCACTCCTGTTTTCATCCACATTTCTAGAGCTCCTCATACAATCAGGCCATCCGTTAACGGGCACTAATTGTACACCTACTGTATGTCCACACTGTAGGAGGGGCTGAGGATCCCAGGAAAGGAGCTGCTCACTCTCGACTGGCAAGGTGCTGATTTTCTAAGGTGGGCTGTTGATGGCACAGAGCCCGCAGCCCTGCTCTACAGCTCACGCTCCTCTTGGCTCTCCCTGAGCCACCAGCTACCAAGACCCTTGGAATATTTGCTGGGCTGCATGTCAGGACACTTTTATCTTCCCGGATTCTCCCCATCACACACATCTTGGGCTTCACCTCCTGAGGGGCCACAATAATTTCCTGGGAATGCAGTGGGCTAGAGGTCTGAGCATGGAACACCACAGACAACCAGGCATAAATCTGGCTTGTTCACCTCAGAGCCACCTGGGCCCAGCATTCTGAGGGATCTGTGAACTTCCCAGAGCTCAGATGGAGCAGCCCAGGAAGCTGGAGTCAGAGGACCTGGGTTCAAATCCTGCCTGTCTTTTCTTACCTCCAACACCCTGCTGAGGCTTTCTCGTGTGGAAAACGGGAATCAGAAATCTCATGCTGTCCTGTCCTACAACAGACGTACTTAGATGAACTGGGGCTATCATAGAATTCCAGGCCTGGAAGGGACCCAGGTGGCCTTTGAGGCCGAGCCAGGAGAGCTCCCTAGAATGAGCTTCTGGAGTGGGCATCTGGCCCCTGCCTGAGGACTCCCAGGAGGAGGAGGAGCCCATTTCACTGTGGGCCTGCCGGCACATCAGGCCTGGATTAGCCCCTTTCTAACTTCTCATTTCTCCTCCACTGGTCCCTCCCAATATGATCTTTTTATACTAGCCCTTGAAATACTTGGAGGCACTTCTCACCCCCTCCCCAGTCTTCTCCAGGCTAAACCTGTCCGGCTCCTCCAAGTGACCCTCGTACGGCCTGGCTCAAGGCTCTTGACCAGCCTCGATGTCCTCCTCTGGCCAATCCCACTGATCCATGTCCTTCTTGACCCTTGGGGCCAAGAACTGAACATGACAGTCTGGATCTACTCTGAACAGCAGGGCTACCACCTATTCCTAGAAACTGGGCCTTCCTTCATACTGCTTGAGGTCACATTCAGTCAGTCAACAAACATTTAATTAAGCACCTACTATGTGCAAGACAAGTAAAAAGAAAGGCAAAAGTTGATCCCTGCCCTTAGCAAGTTTATGATTCAGTGCTGACTCATGGAATCTGAAGATCACCACAATTCTGAGACCTTTTTCAGGCAAACTCCTGTCCAGCTGTGCCTCAGCCAACCTAGACTTCTGAACCCTGCTGAATTTCACCTGGTTAGATCCAGCCCAATGCTAGTGTGTGTTGGGATCTGCTAGTATTGGTCACCTTACCTGAGAACCTTGTAAACCTTGTCTTTATTCAATATATCTTAGCCAATATTGTTTACTTTTTTTTGTGAGGTAATTGAGGTTAAGTGACTTGCCTACAGTCACACAGCTAGTGAGTATCATGTGTCTGGGGCTGGATTTGAACTCAGGTCCTCCTGACTCCAGGACCAATGCTCTATCCACTGCCCCACCTAGCTGCCCCCCAATATTGTTTACTTTTAATATAAAAATGGTAAGTAGCACAGAGCCTTGCCCAGATCCCAGTGGCGCTTCCTTGGGAACTCCCTACCAGGTCGATGTTGGACCATTAACAATACTGATTTTGTTTTTTTTTAATCAATTATTACCCCAATCTATCTATATTTCCATGCGCTAGCACCAGAGGTAAGGGAATTTCCAAATATCAATGCCATCATAGATGTGCTGTGTGTGCGTGAATCCCCTTCTTTGCTTGAAGCCTATCTTGGAATTAATAGAAATGAACTTCCTTCCTCAAATTAGTCCAGATGGCAGAATGTAACCCCACCACCAGGCCATGGGTGTGTGACACCTTTCTCCCCAGAGTCCCTGCCTGATGTCTCATTGCTAAGTGGAGGAGATGGTCAGGCCAGGCCACGGACATCCTGGTTCATTCTGTCATGTTGAGAAGCCTAGCCAACAGTTCAAGTAATAGACGACACTAGTAATCTCAACTCCCAGGGAAAATTCCGTTTGGGTGTGGGGGCAAGGGACAGGGGTATAAGGGATAAGTATCACTGTACCAGGGAAAAGGGTGGCTTGTCTACCAGGGAGTCCAGCCTGTATCCCCGTCAGCACTGAGGAGGGAAAGTAGGCCTCAGAGAGGGGCACACAGTGATCAGAGGGTACCAGCCCAGAGGGGCACACAGTGATCAGAGGGTGCCAGCCCAGAGGGGCACACAGTGATCAGAGGGTGCCAGCCCAGAGGGGCACACAGTAATCAGAGGGTGCCAGCCTGTGGGTGGTTGCACCCTGTGAATGGGACCTCAAGGTGAGGCATCAAGAAATGACAGTGTCCACAACAAGGAAGAAGGCCCCTTTGTTGACTCCCTGGGCCCAAGATTTGGTGGCCCTGTGCCAGTGAGACAGGTCCTGAGACACGTATCAGCAGGAGGAGAAAAGCTCCCTGGCTAAAGCAGCAACCCATGGACCAAAGAAAGCAAACACGTCTCTTCCCTCAGCAGCTGAAAAAGGAGGATTTGCTGTTCCATTGCTCTGGCCATGGAGGGAGGTGTCTATGGGCTGTTGCTCTGTCTGGGGAGCCCATGTACTCATAGGTGCATGAGGGCCTGAGGCTTGGCAGCAGGACCTGACATTCCCAAAGGTGAAAAGAAAAACTCCCTGCTTCGCTTTCCATGGAAACGTCCAAACTGGATTCTCGCGCTCCGTGGGAAATTCCCAGGATGAAAGTCTCTCCCCTAGCATTCTCCGTTTCCTGGAAGCCAGTCCCAGGCCGGGCGGCACAGCAGGGGCGGGGAAGACTCACCACTGAGAGGATGAGGGATGGTGTATTGCTTCTTCTTCGCGGTTCGCAGGGGCAGTGGGCTTGGTTTCTTCCGGGGGCTTTCGCCTCGTTGGGCTTTCCTCTGCTGAGCCATGCTTTCGAGTTTTCTCAACCGTTCTTGCGAACGAGAGATAAACTGAGGCTTGTGGACCTCGAGAGCTTCCTGAGGGCAACAGAGGGAACATTTTATTGTTGCGGGCGAAGGCCGGAGGGGCCAGACATCTGTGTAACGCAGCCTAGTGAGGGGGATGGTGGGAGAGCATGGCTCAAGGTTCAAGTCCCCCCTCCCAGCTTTACCACAGGTGGGGAATGCAGGCCATGGCTATCAAAGGGGCTGGCAGAGCTTTCCTTGTGGCTGTGGGGTCTAATGGGGACTCGCATCTGGGCTAGCTGGGGGAACACCAATTCCCACCCGCTAATTTCAAGCACGTTTATCACCAACAATGGACCAGCCTGGGTGGTCCTCTATTCTGTAGGACAAAGAGGGATGGGTGGGGAAGGGAAAAAGGCATGCAGTCCCCTTGGGCTCCAGTGGGTAGAAGAGGCCTAAGAAAATGTGCTAAGAGCAAAGAAGAAACTTTGGAGCACGTAGGAGGCATAGAATCCTGGACACAGTGGGGGACAGAATGACCTCATCTCTTCAAGACGAAGCCCATTTGCTACTCAGTCAGACGAGAAGAGGCAGATGGCCCAGTCGTGGAGGGCTGGATTTGGAGCCAGAGAAACCCTGGGTTCAAATCCCAGCTCCTCCATTGACCACTTGGGTGATTCTGAACAAGCTGCTCTCCCTCTTTGGGTCTAAGGTTCCTCATCTTTGAAACAAAATTGGGGGAAGGGATTGAAATGAACCCATTGCCCATTGTCAGCTCCAACATCAGAGTCCGAGGTCAGAAAGCTGATGAGGAAACCGTGGTGATCACTGGGGCAGGTGCCTGCGAGGACCCAGAGACAAGCATGATTTACCCAAGGCAACCAGAAAGTGGCAGAACTGGGCATCAGAGCAGGCACTCGAGCCCCCAGTCCAAGGCCCCTGATGGTGCTGTCCTGGGTGAGGCCCCGTCCAGTACGCTATTGAGCAAAATGAACGGAATGGTAGGTTTCAGGTCCAGAAGGCTCCTCTAGATTCCCTCTCCCCTCCACGTCATTGGTTACCAGAAGAATGAGCACATCCAAGGAGGACCGAGGGGGGGGAGCTTGGGGAGCACTCAGGTCCTCAGGGACTTCCCCAGAAACCTCTCACACCCAAAAAAGGAGGCACTGCAGCCTTTACCCTCAGGGTCAGGGAGTGGACAGGGAAGGCACTGATCTCTGGCTCCAGGCTCGCATCCTTCTCCAGGGGTGGCTCTGGCTTCTCCGGGCTCATGGGCTCTGAGGGGGCTGCTGGGGACTCTGGGGTCATCCTCCTCTCTTCGCTGGGCCTGCGACATTCTTGGAGTTTCACAACCAGGTCACAGCATCTATAATCCCCTAAAAGAGAAAGGCACAAATCCATTTAGGGCACCCTGGGAGGTGCTGCCCGGCCTGAGCTCCATTAGACACAGCAAGCCGGAAGCTCATTAATGGGTCTTGTCAAGCAGAAGGGTCTTGTCTAAGCACAGCCCTGGGTCCCAGGGAGCACTGCTCCCATTAAGCTCGACTCCAGGGGGTGCTAATAAGACCTTTTGGGATCTACCTTGATTTGTGACTTAAAAACAGCTCTTTGCTCTCTCTGAAAAACACATTGTTCTGTTCTGTGCTTCACTCTCAAATCATCTTTCATCATTATCCCAGTTCAGTTGTGGGGTACAGTATATGAATCTCTCTCCTGTTTGTGCTCTAATGGCAGAAGACAAAGAAGGGGGATCGTATTATTCTTCACTCCCTTTAGCTTGTCCCAAGATCATCGCGGACTTTTTGTGGTTAATTAGAATGACTTTCTTCTGCAGTATTGTTAATGACCTTCTTGAGGTCTAGTCTGGCACCACTTTAGGAAAAAGTTCAAGAAATCAGGGCATCAGTACAAGGGATGCCCTATGACGGGGCTTGTGACTGGTCTCTGCCCAACAGGGGAGGAGAGGGACAAATGAATCAATCACCACTGAGGATTTAGTGGGCCCTGACGATGAGCGCCCAGGGACAGGCATGTGGTAGAAAAAAAGAACTGTCCTCTAAAGCGCAAAATGGGATCCTGGAAGCAAGGGAGAAATCTGGTTTCTAACTCAGCACTGACCCAGACACCCAACCCTTGCCGCAGTCTCCTGTCTATGGCCTTCACCCTGTCAGAGATCTGGGATTTCATCAGGCTGCGTGCTGAAGACAGCAGCCCTTCTCCCAAGCTGGTTGACGGTCTTTGACAGTAGCTGTGGCCAAAAACCTCTAGGGACCACCTTTGGTGAGCTTCTCAGAGCTCAGCTGGGCACATGCCATTTCTGGACTTATACAGAAAGTCTTTCCATCTCTCTAGGACCCACTAGAGCTGGGGCTCCTCTGGAATGGCCTTGAAGGCTCTGGGGTCTCCTCTACACCACAATGAGGGATATGGAGAGGATGAGAGAGAAACAGAGGAAGGAAGAGAATGAGAAAGAGGGAGAGAATGAAGGAGAGAGAGGCAGAGGAAGAGGGAAAAAGGAAAAGAGATGGAGAAGGCTAGTGAGACAATGAGAGAGAAGGAGGATGAGGGACAGAGGGAGGAAGAGAGGGAGAGAAGGAGAGAGAAAGGAGAGGAAGAGGAGGAAGAAAGGAAAAGAGGGAGATAGAGAGGGATAGGGAGAGAATGAGAGAGAAAGAGGGTGAGGGAGAGAGAGAGGAAGAGGGAGAGAAAGAAAAAGAGGGAGAGAATGAGAAAAGAAAAAAGGAGAAGAAAAAGGAAGAGAAAGAAGAGGGAGAAAGAGAGAGAGGGAGAGGGTGACAGAGAGGAAGAGAGAGAGGGAAAGGGAAGGAGTGAGAGGGAGGAGTTAAAGGGAGAGAGGAAATGAGACTTCGGGGGAAGAAAGACAGAGAGAGAGACAGAGAGAGAGAGAGAGAGAGAGAGAGAGAGAGAGAGAGAGAGAGAGAGAGCGAGAGAGACAGAGAGAGAGAGAGACAGAGAGACACACACAGGGAGACAGAGACAAAGACAGAGACAGAGACAGAGAGAATTTAACATGTAGTTTAAGTGCTGTTTTGAGGCTCTGTGAAGTTTCTTGGCCCCTGGTCACTCCAGGTGACCTTTTGCAGGTGTCCCCCTCCCTCCGAGGTTCCTATCCATCTATCCTGCACATATGTTATTTGTACGTTGTTACCCCACCTGCCCACCACCTCTAGCCAGGCAGGGACTGAGCGTGTGCCTCTGTTTGCATCCCAGCGCTAAGCACACAGTCAATGCTTAATAAATGCTTGTGAGCTGACTGATGTCAGGCCCTTCTTGGGCTGTGTCCCTGGTCTCCAGACCTTTGGGACTTGGAGCACTGGAGGACCTCACCCATCCCTCCTGCTTCCTAAGCCTTGATGAAGCAGCCTCGGCTTCCGTGTCCTGTGTTACCTGCGCAGGGGCAGCGGCTTGGGGCTGAGCCCTTTCCCGGGTTGTCCCAGTGACACCCAAGCAAGGCAGAACATCAGGCCCTCAGTGGGGCAGGAGCTCTTGTCTACCTCGTGCTATGAACGTTATCGACAGGAGTATTCTACCGCCTACCTTCGTGGCTGCTTACCTTGGGGAAAATGGCTTTTTATTGGCACCTCAATCTCTTCCTGTGCAGAGGGAGGCCGAGCATTTAGGGGACAGAGACACTCAGATGAGGGGGCTGGGGATTTCAGAAAGGGCTGTGGCTGACTCTCTTGAGATCCCAGAGACTTGTTAGACTGATAATCATCTTTTGGAGAGCCGGAACGTCAGGAGCGAACTCAGTTATGGGGGCTGGTCCCAGTGGGGACGCAGACAAAGCCATGCACCGCTTTCCCTGTTGCATCATGGTGCTTCCAGAAAACGCTTTTGTTTCTACCAAAAATAAGATGAAAGTCATGCTAAAAAAACCCGAAGGAACCCCCTTATCTTGTACATTGAATTCTAACGGCTCTACACAGATGTCCCAGAGCTGGGCGCCAGGTACCCTGGCTCTGACTCCAGGGATATCAGCCCATTAGGCAGCTCTCTGGCCCCCAACCCATTTCCCTTATACGTTGTACAGACACAGGGACTTTCTCTGAAATTCTATTCGGACAGAAGGTAGAGCAACAGTGCTCCAATGAGATGATAGAGGCGAAGCCATTGATTTCTCTGTTATTACTTGACTGTGAAGACATGGGATGAACCTCAGAGCTTAAACACATAAACTGTGGAGGGGAGAGGTATCTGGGGAGGGGGGAGAGGGAGGGGCTGTGTTCTCTTCTGCTTTCTTTACACCTACACAGAAAGCCTTAAGATGGCAAATGATTTCCTGGCAGATTGGGTCCAAATCTTGTCAAATACTTGGGAAGAATAGTTAGCAAAATTCATTTTTTAAGAAATATCATGAACATGGAAGTCCATAAAACTCCCCACATCGTGTTTGGGCTTTAGATTCCACTGTACCATACGTCAGAGAGAGCCGGTATTCCATAGAGAGCTCCCAAGAATAGGAAACACCTGGGTTTGAATCCTGTCCCCAACACTTAGCTTTCCTGTGGAAAATCATATGAAACCTGCTAGCCTTTCTGAGCCTCAGTTTCCTCATCCATAAAATGGGGATAATTATAACTGCCATGTATATAGCTCCCTTGAAAGTCTGTAAAGTCCATTTCCATCTTTGGACTTGTGTCTTCTGACCTGTGAAACCTTGGGTCAGCCTTTTCTCTTGGACTCAAGGACCACTTGCCAGTCTGGTTTCATTGATGAGAAAGCAGAGAGGCTCAGGAGGGCTGGGGAATGCTCACAAAGTGACACAGACAAAATATTACAGGCTGTGTTTGAGCCTGGGGTTCTCCAGTCTCCAAATGCATGATGCCTCTATCAAAATACCTGCGGTGTTCACCCCCAGGGCTGCTGGAAGACTCAGTTGACAAAGTGGGAGTGAAAGGGCTTTGAAAACCTCAGAGTACTACAACCATGTTAGCTGTTAGTTTGTTTGCTTGCTTTTTGGTGAGGCAACCAGGGTTAAGCGACTTGCCTAGAGCCACACAGCTCGTGAGTGTTACATGTCTGAGGCCGGATTTGAACTCAGGTCCTTCTTACTCCAAGGCCAGAGCTCTATCCACTGTGCCACCCAGCTGCCCCGATGTTAGCTATTAGTAAACCTTAATGGCCCGTATAAATGCCAGCTACTATTATGGGCTCCTCTAGATACTGAGTTTGGGTTATACTTAAGGGTTAATCTTCTTAAGTGTCAACCTTTATTTTAAAAACGTAAACCATTTGATGAAAGGAACAAAAATCATGACAACAAAAAAGCCCCAAACCACAGAGCTGAATATGGCATAGCTGTAACTGTGGAAATAGGTCCCAAACAAAGAGTGATCTCCTGCCTCATTGCAGCAGAGAACTATGGGTGTGGATCACATGTACATGTGCTGGTAGACTCTGTTGTTGTTGTGTGATACATTGCTTTGTTTTGCTGAGGTGTCTATTTTTCTTTCTTTTTTTTCTCTCTTGTTTTAGAGGACAATTGTCAGGAAGAAGGAGGATGTCAATAATTTTTTTTCATCTTAAAGCCAAACAAAACACACTTAAAACCCCTGGAGATGGACATCTTCCCAAACTGTGCCATCTCCTTTTGTCCCCACAACTCAGCCTAGAGTTATCTGCTTAGCATGGGAGAAATCGGTGCAAGGGAGCTTAAGAGATCACCGGGAGCGAGTGGAGGGAAGAGTCCTTGTTTTAAAGCTCATGCTCTTGTCCCAAGGCAGGTCCTCAGACAGTTCATTACAATTCCAGCAGTGCTGGATCTCTGCTTTCCAAGCCCACAGAAGGACACAGTCAGCTCAAGGGCAGAGACGGGCAGGGAGATACAGCCACACACACAAGAAACTGTGACAAGTGGTTGTCAAAAAGAGACGACTGTGGGCAGGGAGAAGGAGGGTGCAGGGACTAGCTTCAGGGATCATAAGGGCTGGTGTGGGGAGGGGCTCCAGAGGACAGAGCTAGGAGCAATGGGTGGTCAGGCTCATCCGATGTCCAGGTGATTTGAGCTGCCCAGAAGGGCTCCCTCAAGGGGTAGGAGGTCCCCCCTCCTCATTGGTCTGCAGGTAGAAGCTGCATGACTATGTATTGAGATGTGACACAGATGCCTTTCCTTTAAGGCTGAGACTAGAAGGCCTTGAACTCTCTTCCAACTCTCAAATTGAAGGATTCTGGGATTTTGTGACTACAAGAGGGAAAATAGAGGGGAAAATGATTAAAAGCAGACACAAGAAGTCTAAAACCATACTCCTCTGGGGGACAATTCAACATGAAGGCCAAGAGAGATGTGCTTCTCAGTAGCCCCTGGAGGCACCACTGTCTCACAGAAAAAGACAGGACCATAATTGATGCTTTTGACCAATCATAGAGTTTGAGATTTGGAAGGAACCCAGAGGCCTCACTTCTGTCTCCTCTGCCATATACCTCATCCAGCCATTGGCTGTGCACTTTCCAAGGACGGAGGAGGCAGCCCACACCACTTCAAGACTCTTTTCATTGGTCAGAAACTTTTTCTCTGACAACAAGCCTCAATTTCTCTTTGCCACTTCTACCAAAGCTCCTGGTTCTGACGTCTGAGCCAAGCAGAGCAGGGTTACCCACATGAAGGGCCATTCTATTGAGGACTAGAGTTTACTCTGGGGTAGGTAACCTTTTGGGGGTCATAGACCCCTATGAGAGTCTGGAGAAGCCCAATGTTTAAAAATTCGTAAGATAAATTACATAGGATTATAAAGGAAACCAATTATGTGGAAATACAATTAATGAGGTATTTTTTTAAAAAGAAGTTTGGAGTCCCCAGGTGAAGAACCCCACCATAGAAGAAGGCCTCCAACATAGTGATGGCCCTCTGTAGGGGCTCTATGGGCCACAGAGGAGGAAGTGCTGACGGCATGGCATCCACACTGTTGGAGTGGGGACTGTGTCCATATCAATGAGAAAGGCAAAGTGAAGGACTTGGGCCATGAAGAAATTAACTTCACCATAATTATGTTCAAAGAATAGCATAAAATAGCTCATGAGGAAAAGATATGATCAGAAAAAAGAAAGTAGGTTGATTGTCTTTCTTGAGTGAGAAATAATAGAAGGATGGATAGCTCAGTGGTTGGAATGGTTTCCCCAAGAAACTAAGAGAACCAGAAAGGGGGGGGGCCCTTTAACATCTTGGGGGGGGTTGGGAGATTATTCATGGAAGTATTTGAACAAGGGTTATACAAGATGGGACCATGGGAAGGGGTTGCCATCTAGACCCCATGGGGAAGACAAATCTTCATTAAAGTATTGAAATGTGATTCGGTTTTGGTAGTCTAGCTGTAACATCTGTAATTAAAGTGCTTCCTTTTTGAGAATGATATTGGCAGGAAATGAAAGTTTAAAAAAAATTGGTTGGGAGCCAGCCAAGCAGCTCCCACGCAGTGGGTCTGTGAACTCATGTGCAAGACCCCCTTCCCTCCAGTGATTCAGGGGGCCTGCCCTGCTGAGCCTGGGCAGCTTCTCTCCAGGCCGCCCAAGTCCATCTTCTGCAGGGACTCCATACAGCATGCTGGGAAGGAGAAAGCCACAGAATCCTTCCTCTTTGTTACAGAGCACACCCAGTTGGGAGATTCCTCTGCTTTTTAACTGGTCTAATCATAACCATCTTTTTGGTAACATGGAATGGAAAGAGATTGGGCATCAGAAGACTTAGGTTCACTTTCCAGTTCACTACCTGATACTGGTGTGAATTGGGAAAAGTCCCTTCCCCTCTCTGGGTCTCATCTTATCTATAAAATCCAAGGATTGGCTCAGACGATCCTTTCAGCATAGAATCTATTTATTACCCATGTGATTTTGGGCAAGTCCCTTTTCTTCCCCGGCCTTAGTTGCCTCATCTGTAAAATGAGAGGGGTGGGCCAGATGGTCTCTGAGGTCCTTCTAGGTTTAAAGCCTCTGGAGTCAGTGAAGACTTTACCTGTCTCCACGAAGCATCAGCTCAGGACCCCGCTGCTTGCCCCATACTAATTCCTGCTCAGAGATCCTAATTGCCTTAGCTGCTCTGCCGGGTCTCAATTCAGAAATGCCATGATGATAGGAACAAGTCACCCAGGCACAGAGCAGAGAATGGCAGAGATGGAGAAGGGTGCACAATGAGGGGGCTGCCAATGCCATGGTGGGAGCCTGGATTTCAAAGATGCTGCTGCAAGACTCACAATGCTCGTTTACCCTGAAGATGAGGGCCATGGTAAAGGCCGAGTCCCGGCCAGTGGCCTGAGGAAATGGGAAGAGAAACAGGGCAGACATCGGGAACCCAGGACACTCATCACTCCGTAAAGGAGGAGACATGGCAAGGGGAACTGAGCACTGCCTGCCTGGAAAACCGAACATTGAGGCAGAGCTTCTGTTACAGAAAACAAGGTCTCTGGTGGGTGCGGAAGAACAGCCACCAGACTGGTCCTCGTGTGGAAGGGCGCGTTCAGTGCCCTCACCTCTATTCCCTTCCCACGAGATGGGGCTTGAGTGAGGAGCAGTGAGAGCCCTTCACTGGAAGAGAAATCTACTCCCTGTGGCTTTCCAGGGTAAGATGGGTTCTCACTGGGGCTGAGACAGGGGAGTAGGAACATGGGGAGCAGCCAGAGGAACAAACAACCAGCCCCCCCAGCCCCTCCCCTCTTGCAGCCAGCCCAGGATCTGCACCAAGAGCCTCCCAAGCTCATACACCACACAGAGACGAGGGAAAGACCGGACCAAGATGAGAGACCGAGTTTGCCAGTTCTGGGGTAAATTTCCAGGATACTGTGTGGGGAATGAGGCAGGCAGCTCTCACTGACAATATCTGGCCTTGCATATCTAATTCCCGGCAAAGTGGA